TACCTGCTCCTTATGGAAAAGCGCAGCCCAATCAATGAACCGCATGGAGGAATTCAGTACTACTATTTGAATTATTGGGGTAGGGGAAGGGAAAAGGAAGGATTTGAAACATTGGTTTTTGGTATTAAATTTTCAGTATTTTAAAATTACATTGAACTCAATTAATTTTAAATGAAGTCACATCAAATTTTATATAAAAAAAAAATTCTCTCAACCTTTATTTTTCATTTATAAAACTCATATTAAAAATCTTATTTAAAAGAAATTGATTTATTTTCACTCAAACTAATAAGTTATTGATAAAATTTGAACATTAATACAATAACTTCTTCTTAAACTTGCATCCCATTGCATTTGCTGTTGTTGTTGTTGCAATTACCATTATATAATTGCCATTGCAATTGCCATTAATATCAAGATGAGTACGCTTTAGCAAGCTCGATTGAGTTGGTCATGTAAAATAAAAATTTTAACTTATATTAAGGTTTATGTTTCTGAAAACAAGTATAATATTTTCTTTCTCTCTCTAAAAATTCACCTTGTTAAAAAAAAAAAAAAAAAAACATTAAGAACAGTACCGTGAGACAGAGGGTTGCCCCCAATTTGTTCTCCAACTTAATGCACACAACAAGAAACAAAACAAATTGAATTAATGTAATATAAATAAGGTTGACCAAGTTCCGATATCCCGACTGCTTCTACCTTAACTCTTGCTCTGATCTGTTGGCCGCATGCACGTGACCCCTCTCAATCTCCACTCTCACACAAGAAACTGACACACACACACACACTTTTGTAGAGGTATAAACAATTTGGCATTATTCTTGAATCCACCCCTCGAATAGATGATATGAAGAAATTTATCCCTTAAATAAGGTGATAAGAATAAGTTTATTTTAAAAAAAATATAAAAATAAATTATTTTTTAAAATTATAAATTAAAATAAATTATTTATTTTTTAACTTATGATATCAATTTTTTATTTGGCCACAAAAACATTTTTAATGTAAAATTAATGTCATGTATTAAAAAAAATAATTTATTTTAATTTATAATTTAAAAAATAATTTATTCTTATATTTTTTTTTTATAAATAAATTTATCCCTACTCTTATTTTTTTTACAAAGGAAACATTTGTTAAAAATTAATATTTGTTTTTAAATTAATATCAAAAGTCGAAACTGAATGAATTTCACATATTACGCTTGGAATAACGGACCCATCCACTAAGTCATAAAAAAAATTCTATCCCTACTATTTAAGTGATGGATATCAGAGTTCTACTAAATAAATTTAATTCTTGAAATATGGAAAAAAACAAGTACTACCGCTTCTTTTTACATTCTTGAAGGATACATTTGTTGTAACAGGAACCGTGCCGACATGAGTATAACTGTAAATAAAAAAACACAAAAAAAATACCATAAGCTGTGTGAGAGATTGATTTCGCAGCAGTGTGAAGTGTGACGGCACAATATTTAAAATCAATCACGTTAGTCATCACCCAAAAGCAATAGCGAACGTAATTTTAATTAATTTATGGGGACTATATTATTTTATATTAGTGAAGCTCCCAATTCAAGTGACCTTTAAGCACGAGACCTCGATCTTTCAACCACCCCCCAAACATTCAATCCTTCCACGTTCTAACAAACAAAGACTTCGAAATTTTGATGCATTTCCCATTTGCAACTTAATTTAATTACACTCATGTTTAATATATTATTATAAAATTTTCTAATATTTGTAAAAAAAAAATACATGTTAAAGTTAATGATTTAATAATTTAGTGATAATTTTTTATTAAAAAGAAAAAGTTTTAAATTCAAATAGTATAATATGTAAATAAAAT